TGAATTTTTCAGTGTCAGAGACTTGGATGTTGTTTGTACTTTCAGGCTGAAGAGGGAGATATGGATGATGAGGATGATGAGGATGATGAAGATGATCTCCTCATGCGGCCACAGAGGCGTATGCATGGAGATGAAGAGGAATATGAGGATGATGAAGGCTCCAGGCGGCCAGCACAGGCCAGTGTACTTTACCAGGATCTGTTGATGTCAGATGCAGAAGACGATGCCAGTGAGGAGGAAGGCGATAATCCATTCTCCTGTAAGTGTCTGCGTCTGCGTCTGCGTCTGTGTCTGTGTCTGTGTCTGTGTCTGTGTCTGTGTGTGAATTTTTCTGTATGTAACATTGATTCTCTCTGCTCTTAATTTGAAGCTATCCAACTGTCAGAGAGTGGCAGTGACAGTGATGCTGAACTGGGGCATCAGGAGAGCACTCGGATTGGAATAGAGCAGGACGAGAGTATGATGTCTTATGATGGGGAGGGGCATGATGGAGTAACGCACATGGAGGACAGCAACGTCAGGTCAGAATACATGCACACAAACATATTCTTGTTTGAGTAAACCTGATGTTTTTCCATGTAAAATCATGATTTTGTATCAGTAGCATACATATGTCACTGTTCTTCTATAGCTGCAGCACAGTAACCAAGTTAATACTAATAATGTGTGTCTTGTACTTCAGTCGGTGTTGTTATTTAGTTATTTATATATTTATTTATTATAAATATCATTTTTGAATCTTATATTGTCTCTTAGGAAGTTTAAAATGTGCTTCCTAATTCCTAGTCCTGTCATTCTTACCCATAGTCACCAAAGGCTAATTTATGTTAGTCACAGGGTTTCAGCGGGGCATTAAAAGGCATTACATTTGAATCCTACAGGCATTAAAAATTTAGATATAGTTTTGAAGAAAATGTTATACTATCAATTTATTTGAATATAGCCTTCATAATTACTATTTTTTATTTGCTGTCGCAAAATATGTACGTTAGTGTGATAAACATGCGGAACCGGTTTGGTAATTGCTTCTGGCCAGAGCAAAATTGCCGTGATGCGGAGGTGACGCAGGCGTTTTGTACAGCGGTGGACAGGAATAAAACTAGACCAGAAAAATGGGAAAGTGCAAATTCCATTAGAAGTGGATATTTAACGCAATTAACGCAGCATCCGTTAATTTTTGTCATCCTTTGGCAAGCTTTACATTATGATCCTGCTCTTATTCATGCAAATACTTTGAACCTGAACTTGGCTTGAACAAACAGTAACACACAATTATGCCAAAATGTCCGTTTTGTCGAGTATCCTCATAACATAAGAGCAAACTTGAGTTAAATAAAGTCTTAAATGAACCTGAAGAGTTGTGAGAGAATGAGATGCGTGTGAGATCCGAGTCTCTGTCAGCAGCGGCTGGTTTTAAAGGGACAGCAGCCAATAAAGCTTTCTGTCAGTAAAGTTAATAAAAAAACAAAGGGAAAAGAGAAAATTACTCACTGCTCTTGACTAAATAACTTTTGTAGCTTTAATAAGGAGGATTAGTCTATATTTAATCTATAAGTTATGCCATGCAGACTGTTTGATAACTTTATTCAATTTCTGTATATTGTTCTGTATATTGTATCATTTTTATCCAGAATAGGTCCCCTTTAAAAACTCATTCAAATTATAAGCTTTCGTGACGCAATAGAGATGATAGTCCAAAATCTCTACCAGTTGACAAATTTCTACCGGTTTATCATCATGTCTACCAGTATATAATCACCCACCCCTATTTCAACAAAAGTTCTCTTTCTATCTTCATTACACTGTGCCTCATATAAAACAATCTGCTGTCTAAGGCTCCGAACAAACATATAATCATTCCACGTGATCTGAGACTATTAAAGTGGAAACTGACTATTAACCACTGACTATTAAAATCATTAAACAATGGAATCAACTCCCCAACAGTTTAAAGATGTCTATAGATCTGAACCATTTTTCTCAACACTTAAAGAAATATATCCTTGAGAACCAGCTGTGTCAGCATCAGCACATTTAATGTATATATTATGGGTAGAGATTGTCTTTTGACTATGTTCTCTCATTTTGAACATCTGTTTGTTTTTATATGATTTTCGTTGACTAATATTATGTGTAGCCTATTTGTCATTATTTTTACTATTGATAGTGGTTTTGTAATGTAATGTTTTAAAAATTGTGTGCACCTGCCCGGGGACTGCGGATGAAAATTAGCTTCGGCTAACTCTGGCACAAAACATCTTTTCGCAAGATTAATGTATTTTGTGCATTGTCCCTGATAAATAAATAATAATAAAAAAATAAAAATAAAAAAACCATCTATTTTTGCCTGACGTTAGGATCCTTCTGAAGTCTGCACAGATACACAAATTAGCTGTTTAAAATTACAAATTACAGATATGATTCATTTCTGATTTGAATTTTCCCAATTTTAGTCTACCCTTATCTACCTTTTCAACCTATTAATATCATACAAAGTTAATCAATCTGAAACAGAAGATAGCATCTCTACAGTATAACTTTTATAAAAACACACCGAAAGACAGCAGCAACCTGTGTCTGTCATTAACACACTTTGCATTGTTTGAGAGTTGTCTGCGGGATCAGCCCACTTAACCTGCAACATCTACAGGATTTTCTTAGGATTTTAAAGCTCCTTTCCGTAACTTTTTGGGTTAAAAATTATCCAAAATTAATTTGAGCAAGTAGCTCGATTCAAAACGGTAGCTTGTAATAATGTTTTTAACTCCAGTGGTACTGGTGTATTTCCACAGGAGATTCGAGCATGTCTTTGCGTCATTACGTCACATCTGTACACATAAAGAAGGAGTCTCGGCTAGTATAAGCTATATTGCGTGAGGATGTTGGAGGTGGAGATTTATAGCCTTTTCTCACAGCACTTGATATAATTAAACTTATTAATTTAATGGCGGATCCAGAAAGGTTCAAACGACAATCACCAGTGACAACTGGAGATTCACCCATTGTAAAATCCAAAAGACTTTGGACTGAGAGTTTGGAAAAAGAGACTGCAACGGGATACAATGATAAATATCTGAAGGGCTTTAAATGTAGTCACGCAATCCAGATGTTGTTAACATTAACAGTTTGACAACAAAGTATAATTTGCACGGTTTGACGTGATCTGATAAGCAATCGTTAGATTTAATCAGCGCGATTTACTGCAATGGTGTTTTCCCTTTGTTGGTCAGAACAAAAGTGGATGTTACTTGTTCAGATGACATTTTCCGGTGAAAATTCTAATGTTGGTCATACTTCCAAAAAGTAGAATCTGTGATTCTGAATGCCAGAATCCACACCGGCGCGGTGACTGACAGCCGCAGATTCTCCTCAAAACATTGGATTCATCCGCGCTGTGCCGTGCCGAGGCACAACTCACGTAAAGTTGATAATTCCGCGAATGACTGCAACTGCAGATTTCGAACAGAGATGGCAACAAAGAGGAAAAACTGCGGACTGCAGCTTTAAGAATCAATATGGATTTTTTGGACAGATATCAGTATCAGTTTTTGCCCATTCCTGGTTATAATGGCTGTTTTAGAGATCAGATATTGCCATTGCTAACAAGGTGATGTGGCACTTTTATTTGAAAGGAATCACCTTCTTTTCCTACAGTCACCATATTGAGTTTTGTTTTCTCGTATTTTTTCTCATAAATTTCTGAATACACTCTTTCACTTACACTTCTTGTGTGTTATAGTTATGGCAGCTACTATGACGGAGACAGTCAGATGCAAAGGCAGGTGTCCAGCCCCAGGACAGGAGAACAGGACGTAGAGGAGATGTACGGGATAAGTGAAGAGGAAGAAGACGAGGAGGAGGATGAGCGGAGGCGAGGGCCTAGTGTTCTCACACAGGCACAGCTCAGTGATGAGGAGGAAGACAGTGAAGAATTCAGATCTGTTGGAGGAGACAGTGACATGGATTCTGACAACTAACACATGCTTCTTCCTCTTCTGTCATATGTGCTGTGTAACTGTCCTGGTGGTGATGATGGTTTTGCACATAACTGTATATTTCGTACTATTCTAATGGTTGTGTTTACATGTTATTTTTATATGGCTTATTGAGCTTGTTTAAGTGGATCAGACAATGTTTGTGATGAAGAATGTGAGAAATAAATTTTTATGTATCTGAAATGTACACATTCTGAGTTTTGTCCATCCTAAACCTCAATTCACTCTGCCAAACTACACTTTTAACTACGATCCATCATTCCAAAATTAATTTTAAAACACTGAACTCAGACTTGGGCTGTTCATACGGACAGTTGACATTTACATTTTTTTATTATTTGGATATAAAAAGCTCCCCTAAAAAATTCCTCCTATTTGGATTACTTAACTGGATATATCATTATCCCTCCTCCACCAAACTTTACAGTTGGCACAATGCGGTCAGGCACGTAACATTGCTTGCTGACATGCTTGTTATAGTTGTTCACGAGTCCCTTGTTTGTCCTGAGCAGTTAAACAGCACGGCTCTTCAGAAAAATCTTCCAGGTTCCTCACATTCTTTGGTTTTCTTGCCTCCTCTGCATATTTGAACCCTTTTCAACAGTGACTGTATGATTTTGAGGACAATTGAGGGACTCATAGACAACTGTTAGTTCAAGGTGAAAACATTCACTGATGCTCAAGATGGCAACACAATGCATTTGTTATTGTTTTTTAAGATCTTTTTTTTCCCCATTTAGCACTGCCCTTTAGAAGCTACATGAGATATTTACGTTTCCCCGAAGACAAAATAAATGCAATTTACCCTGATTATGCTCTATAAAAAGTAGTAAAAAATAAATAAAAATAAAAAATAGTTACACCAAAGGACCAAAGTTCACGTCCACACCTGCAAATATCTGCAAGAATTTCATATCCAATATGTGTAGCTATGTGAGTGTTTGCGCATACTCCAGCTCTCACTGTGTTGGGTGTGTGTAAATAAATAAATAACCGAGTCAAGTGCAAAGAGCCTATTATGCAAGTGGCACTGGTGGAATTCAGATGTGTGTGGGAACTAAAAGATGAAGGTCTTACTGTGCGTGTGTTTCATCTTATTTTTTACTGAAGAGGCAACTGGACAGACGCAAGACCGTAAGTGTGTTCAAAAGAAGGCTCAAATATGTTAAAATGGTTGTGTTGTATCTGTTTTAAATATAATCATGATATATTAGTTGTAAGCTAATACTATAGTTTCTGTATGTGTTCTTCAGCTGTCTGTCTGAATATTGGTGACTTCGATCCATGTTTGAACAATGAGCTGTGTGATCCGACAAGTAGCAGATGTAGCTGTTTCGAGGGACAGCCATTCTGTCGGTAATCTACCTTTAGTACTCTACACTAGTTTAAACTTTAGCTTGTTTTGAGATTCACCCCTTCTGTTTTCTGTGTAGGTGCAACAGTAAAGAAGGTGAGTTTTACATTGATGAAAACTGTTCTCAGAGATGGACAGTAGTGACCTTTGCCCTGGTGGCATCTCTGCCTGGCCTCACACTTGCTGTGTTGGTGGGGGTGATTGTTTATATGGTGATGCTGCAATCAAAGAAGAGCCACACAGGGTGAGAATGAAAAACACAACTCTAGCTTTAATTTTGATTTTGAAAAGCATATGGTACATTTTTGTCTCTTACATATAGTCTGACTTTATGAGGGTTATTAATTAAAAAATATGACTTACAGCCCATGATGCTCTAAAGTAATTATTGTGTGTTATGCCTAACAAGTAATTCATTCTCTCATTTTGTGCATGTGTGTGTGTGTGTGTGCCCAGTGAAGAAATGAAGACACCCTTCCCTGGAATGAATTTAGCTTCTGATATGAATGTGAGTCAGCTTAATGTGTCTTGTGGTTAAAAATAGTTAATGATTAATATCAGTAGCACTAGGCAGCCATAATCCTAATCAGAAATGTGAAACCATCTGGAAATACCTTTGAAAGTCATAAAATCAGCACAACAAATCATAAACAGAGCATAAGACAGATATATCAACTTCCTGAATGGTCTGCCAACTATTAAAAATGCATATTTACCTTTTTTTCTGCTTTCAAAGGGTCAACCTCCCCCTAACATGAGACCTGTACAACAAAATCCCATTCCCATGACAGCCATGTCCAACCCGCCCTATAGGTGAATTTGATCTCTTCTGATGATTATTATTATTTCAAGGCAAGACACTAAACCATTGTTTTTGCACTGTTAATGCATTTTTCTTCCATAACAATCATTTTCAGTGAAAAGACAACGGATGCTTGGTGCCCTGTGCTAGAGGAATGAAACGATGCAATTCAAAGCATTTTTAAGTGTCGTTGTTCTCCATTGATACAACACTAACCTTTAGATAATCTGGCACATTTATCATATAATTAGAATCAAAAAACAGTGCCGCATGTAAACAGTAAATGCTTATGAGACTGAAGAATTAAATCATTTGTTGGTTCATGAAAAAATTGACACTTCGATTTACATTGCCTCCACAGCATGTACAATGGTATGCGTGATCCTCCAATGGGAGGTCCTGTACAGCCCTACAGGTAATTCTACATAAATTGATAATAATAGCTCATACAGTTTCACAACAGACTCTCTGCCAAAATATACTGTGTGTCTGTGTATATATAAGGACCAAAAGTGAAAAACCTGGTGTTCCATGTTTTGTATTTCATGTCCTTGTGTTTAATTTAGTGATTTTTGTGTTGTGTATTTGTGATTGTAGCAATGGAGCAGGGCGGGGTCAGATTGTTAGGAACCCTTATGCAAGAGATTCACCCAGCCGAAATCCCTATGAAGACCACAGCCCTTCTGCAGAGCACAACCATTACAGGCCACACGCCCCTTCACACACACATGAAGACCTGGTATGGTTCACAAATGTACCAAACATTTCAAATTCAGGAATAGATTGGTAAATGTTTATAATCCTCTGTTTTTTTTTCATGGCACCAGAGAGCATATTATGGTGCACTATACAGCACATGAGCAATTTAGAAGCTGTGTTCTGATAAGACTCACTGTGGATGATCAAAGGTCTTCTCTTCAAATAAATAATTCTCCTGCTCTTTATTGCTCCGACAGACACAGAATCGGCCCTATTCTCCTGCTCCACTCTACAGTTCCTCTGAGCATGGAAACCTCCGCAATGGATTTCCACGACCCCAATTAAACCTACAATTATAGAACTATTTTTTATTTACATCTAATCATTATTGGATCTGATCAATTTTGTCATTATTTGTCGAGTTCAATTGTAATTTGTGGCTCTTTTTATATTAATCATTTAATCATTTAGCAGAAGCTTTTATCCAAAGTGACTAACAAATGAGGAATACAACTAACGATTTATCTCAAGTTTCAAACATCATCCAGAATAGAACATGCTGGAACAGGTTAAGAAACAGTGAAAGCACAGCAGTGTATTTATTGTCTAATGAAATAAAAATTAAAAAAAGCTTACAAGTGTTGCCAACGTGTGCTCTATACTCTTAGTATAATATGAATAGTTTTATGTTTACATGTCCTGTAATATAGGTTTTAGATATTCAGCGGGGTGCAAAAGTCTAAAATTACTTTGGAAAAAGAAAACCCTTGACTTTCAATTAAACCTGCAAATAAAGTTTTAGGATTTCGAACATGAAAAAAAAAAAAAAGTAAATTATACTATGTGGCACACAGGATACTGAACGGGAAGAAGAGCATGAAGAATTTACCGACTGCAATTCACAAAAAATTCTAGCTATCAGACTCCTGAGGTGAGCCTCATGTGACCTGGACTTTATTGCAGTAACAGTATTTACTTGTAATGTGGAATAACTGTATTTATATGCCATCACTTAAGTGCAAAAAATTGGATTTAGATGCTGCCAATTACCATGCGCAATATCATTATTTATATGCTGCGGTCAAACTCTTCAGTGCTGTATTTTAATGCACGTTGTAGCATTTTTTATTATATTTTTATGAGCCAGTGGAACGGGATTTCGTTCCAGTTAAATGACAATAAAAAGCTATCTAAATCACACCCGCAGACGTTCACCACCCAAACTTTTTTTTAAGATGTTTAGCTTCAAAACATTCATCGCAACATGTTTATGGTTAATTGGCAATTCTGCATCCTGTTTGCTACCTCATTTAAAATTGGGGAATTTAAGTGAAATTTAAAAAGCATTCTCAATGAATGGCACATACAGAAAAGTGGATATTTTTGGTTGTCCATATTGTAGCATGATTTCACAAAATGACATTATGGTTTTGCACATGTAGAGTCGATTGGTGCTGTCATCAAAACCAGAGGACATACCAAATACTCAAAAATTCATGTTAATTTTTCAATTCAATGCATTTCTCAAATTGTTATGCTGATACTAAACATGTACTGAAATGTTTTGTATTAAACTACAAAACATATGCATCATTTGTAGACATCACAGATATATAATGTGACAGAAATGAGATAAGACTGTTTACAGGTGATTTTTCTTTATGTTTACTCAAGAACAGGAGGTTGACCTTACAAAGATTTTTCCTAAAGAAAAGCAAAATTGCCTGATAAAGCAATAAATAAATGTCAGAATAAAACAAATTTGTTCCAATGTCCCACAGTTTCTTCAGCAATTCTGATCCACATTAAACAGTGTCACAGATCCATGCAAGTGCTGATACTGGTTCTAATTGCTCTTGCTGAACCGTCTCCGCTGAAGTAGCTCATCTGAACCAGACAACGAGGCCTAGCAATATCTGCTAATGGTTAAAGAACATGCAGTCTTAACCGGCTCCAAATCAAACAGCACATAAGGTTATGTGGGTGAAGACATCTTTCTGAGTCGACTGATTTTGACTTTAAAAGCTAACAGTACAGGGAACACTTCTGTAGAAATCTTGCACTCAAAACAACATCCATGAAAAGGCAAACATTTAATCATGTGGGAAAGAGTGATGTGGAGCGATGCAAGGACGCCCAAACATCCATCTCTACAGATGCCCAGGGGCTTAAGGTCTCATTTAAGATTTATTTAAAGACATTTAAAAGAATGTCAACTATGCTAAATCTGTTTAGAAAAAAAGTAACCAAATTAGCTAACCACTACAGCGCCACTCTCTGTTGTGTCCATGTCACATTGGCAGCATTGGGATGTTTATTTGTGGGAACCGAAAGGATGCGTGTGTGTGTGTGCGTCTGCGTGCGTGTATGAGATTAGATCAGCCCATGTTCTTGCGGTTGCCATATCCTCTCCGGTGTGTGTCCTTCCAGTTGTCCCAGTCACGTGCCTTCTGCAGTGCCTCTTCATCATCGTTCTCTTCCTTCCTCTCTCTCTCAGCTCTCTCATCCTCCTCTGCATCGCCATCTGCTGTGGAGGAAAGACAGAGGTACTGAATTGAGTAAAAAGGCAAATCTCTCCTCAGTTTTAGTACGTTAAACTGAACACTAGGCCTGTCAGGGTTATGGATTATTGATCTAATTGCAATTATTTGAGATAAATGCAAATTTCATGATTTTGACAGGCCTACTGAACGCTTCTAATTGAAAGTAAATTAAAGACATTGATTCTATTTATATCTTTTAATAAAAGATTATGTCCTGCAAAAGCACTCAATGCGTGTGTAAGCACCTGCGCTGCGTGGTATGCCCTGGTCAGGTAAACATCCTTGCCGTCGGTGTTGGTCATACCAATCGTCCACTGTCATGGTGGGAAGGCTGGGATATCCCTCACCAAACACTCTGCAATACATTCAGAAAACACACACACACACACTAGTACTACAGCACTGAACTCCACAGGCACACTCCAAATGCACACGTACTTCGCCTGCATAGCATCCTTAGTCAGGATAAAAGGCTTCATGGGCGGTCTTTTGGGTGGGGATGGCTGGGGGTTGCTCTACAGAGACAAACAATTATTAGTAAGGCTGTCAATCAATTCAAATTTTAAATTGTGATTCATCTTATATGATTTTTTTGCAGTAAATCAGATGTAGATTTACGTAAACACATTATTCGCACAAAATAAAAGCACAGTTGTAATTCAGAGTACGTGGCAATGAAATACCTGCTTGAAAAGCTCCATGCGTTTCAGGATCTCGATCTCCTGGTTGATGGAGTCGATCTCCTCGAGGGCTAGTGTCACCCACCTGCGCACGTGCAGCAGGTAAAAATCTCTCACCACCTCTTCATCAGCTGAACCCGATTCAACTAGTCCCCTGATCTCACTCAGCTTGGCTTCTGTCTCCTTACGCTGATTAAACCTGCAAACAACTTAGTGTAAACACGCCACACATTTCCACAAAAATATTAAGCAGCACAACTAGTTTTCGACATTGATAATAATAAGAAATGTTTCTTGCGCAGCAAATCAGCGTATTGTAATGATTTCTGAAGGATCATGTGACACTGAAGACCGGAGCAATGTTTGCTGAAAATTCAGCTTTACCATCACAGGATTTAAAATTTAAAATTACATAATTAAAATAGAAGAATATTTCACAATATTACTGTTTTTTTTTATCAAATAAATGCAGCCTTGGTGAGCATAAGAGACATTTTAAATAATCTTACCGACCCCAAGCTTTTGAACAGTAGTGTATATAATAATAATAATAATAATAATAAAAATGTTATTGGTGTACTCTGGACATCGGATGATGGATAAATACATGCATGTTACCAAATATTCAATCCTAACCCACCTCTCGATTTTGGCTTGTCTTTGTGTTGCCATGGCGATAAGGTCTGGCTGTGACATTGGCATGGGGACTGATGGATTCATGCGCTCCTCAGTAGGAGTATCTGTTGTGTTCTCACTGGCTCTGGGCAGCTGAAAGCTACATATGTCATAGTCCTTGCACCTCTGGAGGAAGTCCCTGAAGTAGACGTGGGCCGCCTGCACATGCTCCAGCCGCTTGCTGGGGTTCACTTGTTTCATGGTGAGCGCTCCCAGCAGAGCCGGCAACAGCAGGTACTTCAGGTCGGTTGTGGAGATCTCCTCCAGGGCCTCATTATGACTACCCGAAAAATAAAAGTCAATTAATACAGCACTTCAGTAAGTTTTACATTGGCTGTTTCATAAGGACCACGTTATTTATCTGTGCATTAGTGCAATACACTAACATTAATTGCCTAGATTATATGGTTTAGGTCAAATAATAAAATAATTATAATAATGCTTGTAATATCTCATGTGTAACAAACCAAATAAGAAAATCAATGATGATATTACATCACCATGACGTCTTTTCAGAGTAAAACGGAGTACACAGCCGAGTAATACTGTAGGAATTGGGCAACAATACAACCAGTTTTGCAGATGAATGCCCTTTTCTGTTTACCACTGTACTGTAAAACTAAAAAGCACATTTAACGTTACTCTTTTAATTTGCAACGGATGACTAGACGAAAAAATAGTTCCCATCATAATCAGCGCGTCGCTCGCTTGTAGTGCTTTGACAGCAACATTGATTATAAAATAAGCATTTGAATTGATCGCTTCGTGTGCGAGAGTGCGTGTGTGTGTTGTTCTATCTAACCTGAACAGGTTCAGCTGATTGACCATCCTCGTCGCCTCCTCCAGTTGCACGATGGCGCGCTTCACTTTCACCTGCACCGCGGTGGAGCTGCTCGACTCATGCGTGGTGTCCACCTCATCATACAGCTTCCAACCCCGATCCAGTAAATCCGACAGCTTCGGAGCATCTGAACCACTGGGGTTTTGTGTACTGTTTGTGTCTTCAGCAGCCGCCATTTCTCAACGCGTTTTTAAGACCCAACTCGGCTTCCGTCTTTTCCTGTTCTTAGCGTTTGTATCCGGTCGGTTGGTTGATGTTGCAGTTCTGACGACTGACTGTGGATGTCAGCAGAGGTCAGTGCTTATTATAGACGAATCCGGTGAAACTACCGGAAGTAAGCGGGCGCCATTACTGAGCTGTTGCTGGGTAGCGTTGCGCCATTGCCTCCTATTGTTTTAGTTGCAACTTGCATCCACTGGAATAAACAGCCCGCGATTTACGACTGTCACTAACGTTACAACTTTTATAATGTCGAGTGGGAAAACATGTTCCGTTTTAAATTGTTTCAATGGCGGCAGTAAAGGGCGCATTGGGGCAGTAACGTTAGTAACATTACTGTTATGTCTGTTGTTAATGTTTGATTTGCTTGACTGTGACAGAATTTTTTTTAAATAACAAATTAAATTAAATATAATGCAGTTTTTGTTATAATAACAATTATTTAATGACATAAGTAAAAAAAATATAATAAATATGTAATATAGTGCTCAGCAAAATCTCCTCTCTAGCTAATTTTTCTATTCAATTAACATGCTATGGTAATTAAATGGCTTTCCTGAGCTAAATGTAACGTTATGTGACATAATTGTTCTCCTGCTGTTATATTGACCTCTTTCCATGGTTTAAAAACACTAATTTGTCGATATTATGTATACTTTCTAGCTGCACCTTACCCTTGCCTTTTGCAATGTGAAAATGAGATAATGGACACAAATGAAAAACATGAATTCGTTTATTTGATGTCATTCGTTTATTTATTGTTGCCAAATGGACAGATCTTTTTATAGTTTCCTCGTTAGCTAACGTTAGCCTAGCTGGCTTACCAAGCTATTTTCATAAATAATCTGTAAGATCGTTTGTACCTTCATCTGTGACTGGAAGCCACTGTCTAACATCATCAACCCAACAAGTCATTCAGCCTGGCTGTAGCTGTCATCGAGGGTGCGTTATCACGGAGGTTTGTTTACATACCGGTAACAGCTCAGTAATGGCGTCGCCACAAGATGGCAGCCTACACAGAACGCTCGTCGGATTCGTGTATAGCCTAACTTACCTCTTTAGATAACAGATAATATCAGTTAAGTTGAATTATATTTTATATCATTGTGCTTTTATATATTTCGCAATTTATGTATTTATTGCAATTTGCAATGCTAATAATGATCATATGATCATTATTAGCATTGCAAATTGCAATAAATACATAAATTGCGAAATATATAAAAGCACAATGATATAAAATATAATTCAACTTAACTTAATAGCCTATATTAATTGCAAATAATTTACAGTTTTAAGGCATTCGTTTTTAGCTGCTTTAAAATAAGAAGTGCCACAAAACTTGTAGCAACTTACAAATATATAAATATACATTTGTGTAAATAAAACTTACCTATAATAAAAATATTATTACACAAAAATTCAGCCTCTTTTTTTGCATAGAAATACCAAACTTTACAATGTGATATCAAAAATCACCTATTACATTATTTATAACAAACCACTCATACATTCTTTCCCAAAACCGCCAAAGAAAATCAATTACTAAAAAGATGATCCTGAGATCTTTTTGAAAAATGTACAAAATTACTCTTAAAAGTTCACTACATCAATTGTTTTGAAGTAACTTCCTTCATTAAAAATATTTAATTCAAATTTTGATAGTCAGCTTTCTAAAACATTTATTTTAACAGGAAAAGGGAAATATTCTTTTGTAATTATAGTGACCTAAAAAAAAACCTTTGTTTTTACATTTGCGAAGATGAATTGTCAATGAACAGATTTTAAAAAAAGTTGAACCATTCCTTCATCTGAATGTGTTTACAATTATTTTAAATACGAGTTTACCGGGACAGCATATTTGTAACATCCCATCGTTTTTATGCATAAACAAGAAAAAAAACAATTTGACATTTAGGCAAAACAATATCTTAAGCAAAAAAAAAAAAAAAACTCTTTACAAAATTTGCTTTTTCACAATGCAAAAACTACTTTACCAACCTGAATTTCTCTCTTGTTCTCCTCTGGACAGTATATTGACAGGATGAGTTCCCACACATATCTTTGCCTCTTTAATTTATCAAAAGGCTAACTTTACACAGTGAAAATATTCAGAAAAATCGTTGCTTCTTAGTTTGCGCGTAAAAATGTTTTGCTGGTTTTTTTCTGTCAACATGACCATTCTGAACTATATCTTTAAAAAATCTAAGTAGGAAAAGATCTCCCACAGGGTCCACTCAGTTTTCATTTTAGAAAGCTTTACACCCAGTATAAACACAGATCTGTGACAACATTAGCATTAAGAAACCATTTGTCTCTGTGGTCTCGGTCATGCATACCGTGTGCTGGATTATTTGTTTGTGTGAGTGTATGAGGGCAATTTAGCACAAATGGCTGATATTAATGATTTTGCCTGCAGTTAGTGAGTCTGGGTGTGTTTAACGGAATCATTCATACCATGTAGAACAAATAATCTTCATAAAGTAACATAGTCCAGGGCAGCTTTAACTCAGAATACTGAGCCTTTGTTAGGAGAAAGCGGAAACTCTTCACATTTTCCCATGGTGTTGTATCGCTGAACCTCTGGCATGATCAGCTGTTAGGAAACCAAGACACATTAAGGTGATGATACACGGGACAACTTTTTGGGAGCAATGTAGCCGAGCGATGTTGCTTGGGAACTTTCCCATTGAGAATGGGCAACAAATTTCTATCTGGATACTTTAGATCGGCCGTGGGCCCTGTGTCTCACCTGCTTGCCCATTGATGGCAACATTGCCCAGCAACATTGCTCAAAAAGTTGCCCTGTGTATCATCACCTTTAGAGTCATTATCGTGATTGACGAGAACTCTCTCTAGGCTGAGGAGGCAAATCTGTTTATTCAGTTCACTGATCCTGATCCCGTCTTTTCTTAATCTAATGCTTAACCACACATTTAAACTTGCTGAATACAGCTAATGTGTATATTTTTTAATCACTTTAATGGGCTCTGAGGTTATTTTGTCTTTCTGGCCACGAGAAGCAAATTCCCCGCATAGTGGAGGACTAACTCTAACCCAGTCATGACCTTTAACCCTGATCTCTACCCTTGAAACATGCAACATACATCAACTGTCACCCTATAGAATAACAGACAAACCGCATTCAAATAAACACCAGAAAACCCCAATGAGCTGAAGAGAGATGAAATAACAGCATACGTGTAAATGTGATTTCCAACTTGCTGCTTTTTCTTACCGCATCGATCTAACGGAATTTAAGTTCTATTTTTGTCACGCCAGGCTGTTGATTCTTCACATATTTGGAGTCGCTTGCAGATCTATTCTCAGTATGTGTGTGTGTGTGTGTGTGTGTGTCCAGCTATGTTGTGAGATTTACAGCCTTTTGTGCCCTTTGCTTTGTCATTGCAGCACCAGCAATATGGGGGGCAGAACTGACAGGTGCCACACACACACACACACACACACACACACTCAAATACGCAGTCCAAAAACTGCTTTCACAGAACTCACATGGAACATGTTAGAAAGCAAATGGACCAAATGTCCCTTCCATGAGGAGAATGGCTTAAGAAAGGGACTAAATAATGTTTTAATTAAAACCAAAAAAAAAAGCCAAAGGGTTTTTGAAAGGGTAAGGTTTATGGTCTCAATATTAAAATAGTATAAATTAATGTACTATGATATAAAACGATTTTGTCTGTTTGTGCGACTCAGGTTGATGGTAAAACCTGAAGCCACCTACACTGTGGAAAGATCATCCCAAGGTCACCACGAGGAAAACGGTTCAGCGTTAGGGGATTTCAATGTAATTCAATTCAATGTAAATTCCCACGGTGAAGGGAAAACAAATGCGCGTTTGATAAAGAGTCTGTCAGCAGAGATCGGTGGGATTGTCCTGCATCTGTTTTCACAAACAGTCACTCTGTAAACAGCTAAGCACTAATAAAGTCTTCCTCAGACTGTGTGTGTAAATACTCTTTCTGTGGGAGTGTGGTGTTGTGCTCATAGTAAACAATACATGGGACCCGGTTAAATGGAGAGCTGCATTCCACAGAGATTCACACCAGGTGTACAGTCAACAGAGGAAAAGAGAGAGAATCATCTCATTTTAGAAGAGATCAACATCTTTTAGACGGAAAAAGAAACTACTACACTCCTTCATCCCTGAGATCTCGAAAGCATCTCACACTTCCCGTGGCTGATGAAGGCCTGGATAAAGTTTATAAAGCAAAAATAACTGCTGCTATTTCAGCAACATCACTGATTCTTCTCTGCCAGTGTATTTTATTTTACAACAAGCATCTTTGATATAAAATGCAAAGACTTGTTAACTGTAAAACGCTGAGCAAAAGCTAAACCCCCTCTGAGGCTCAGACCTGTCTTGCAAAGGGCCCAGAAATCTGTGTGTGCCTTTGTCTTTCTGTAACAATGCAGAGATAAAAATCAGGCAAATCAAAGGACAAAAGGAACCGCAGAACAGGTTAGCCCTCGGTCTCTTTCTCCTGTAGCTGCTGTTGAATACTTACTATCTGGATTCTTAATCTCTCTATAGCACTGATATCCTGAAAATGTCTTTGATGTGAAAGAATGCTGATGAGAGATCAGAGAAAACACGCTCAAGATCACATACAGAACTGCTATCAAATTCTGAGCAACATAAATCTACTCCCAAAAAAAGCTGTTTCAGACAAACTGTAAGCAAGATTTTAAAATGAACACAAAAATGAAAATATGGTCATTTACAACTAGGTTTCATTTGTGAACTAATAATGAACAATACATCTACAGCAATTATTAATCTTAGCTTATGTTAATATAAACATTTACTATGTTTTTAAATACGTAGTTAACACACTGTGTGAACTAACATGAAAAGTGAATAAATGCTCTAAAAATATATTGCTCATTGTAATTTCATTTTAACTCATGTTAACAAATGAGACCTACAATAACAGGATTTTACATTTATGGTGAAAAATTCCAAATTAGTCTCTTCCACATTTGACATATT